TATAGATCAATTGCAACCCTTCACGGTCAATCAATATTTGCTAAAAGATTATAACCTACATTGCCTAGAATGCCACTGGCTTTCACTTTTATATTTATATTAGAACACCCTTAGAATTATTTTTACAATGTAAATTTATGGCAATATAATGTACCTCTAATAGAATAAGTACACTTAGGGGTAGAGTTTGATGTTCTTTGGAAAATATCTACATCTGTGAAGATCGTAGACAAGATAAAAAATATTTTCATTACCCCTCAAATTTCTTTTTGTCCCTTTCCAGGTAAATCTTACCCTATCATCAGTCCTCTGTACCAGCATCCGCTGTAGTGTGGTCTGTTAGCATCACATTCCTTTTGTAGAATTTCAGATAAATCATATATTGTTTCATGCACTTCTTAAATTCAGCACATACAAAAAAGCTGATACCCAGCTGTGACATGGCTTAGTGGTTCCTTTTTATTGCTAAATAGTACTATTCCATTGTGTGGATACTCCATGATTTCTTTATGCTCATATTCTGATGGATATTATGGTTGCTTGTAAATTGGAACTATTTTGAAAGAGCTGCCATCAACATTCAGGTGAAAGTCTTTGTATAGAAACATATCTTCTTTGGGATATATAACAAAGAGTAGAATTTCTAAATTGAGTTGGTAGGTCCATGTTTACCTTTAGAGGAAGCTTCCAAAATTAGAGTTTATACCCCTGTTAGAATTTTTAAGTCCCAATAAGAAATTCCAGAAAGGGCACATGCTAAATCCTATGTTAATTTAAATATATGTATTCCAGCATGCAGTCTTTACATTCACTGATATTTTTACATGGAGTACTTACATCTTTCCGTCCTATTTTATTGACATAGCAGAATAAACATATTCCTTTTTACCTCTTTTAGCTATATATCTAGTCTTACAGGTATAAATGAGGTAGAAGTCTTTTATAGTTCTAGTTTACAACTGATAGCTGAATTTCACTTTAGGGAGCAATTTTGCTAAAGAATATGATGGTTTAGAACATGATAATAGGAAAGAAAATTAAGAAGAAAAAATTGGTATCAGATTGATCTTCTGAGCTCCAGTTCTTTCCATCACAAAGGTAGACATAATAAAAATGCTAGCCACTTCTTGTCATGTCATGTGAATTAAGTCTTAGGAGTTCCTGAGTGGAAAACATTTTATATCTGGTAAAATTTTTCAGTGAATTCATTGAAATGCCATCTTCTAAGAAATCCATTTTGAAAAGAATTGTACAGTGTGAAAATCACCAGGTAAATTGGAAAGAAATGTTTCTTCAAGTCAAAAATTTCACTTGTAATTTCGCTTATCAAGAAATTCTCAGAGTCTCATTCTCTAGTGTGTGTTCCTCTGCAGAGAGCGTGAGACGCGTGAGATACAACTCGCTAAGTAATTGGTAGGAATGCTTGCCCTACAGAGGAGAGGGGTCACTTTACAGGCCTCAAAACCAGAAGAGTAGGTCATTTCACATAGAATCTCCTAAATGTTTAGCTAGAGACATTAGTAGTTATGAGAATTACAAACTACCTTATGGTCTTAATTAAGAAATTAAACTTTAAAAAAAGGACAATGTGTCAATGAAAACTATGGCCATGAACAATCTATTCAGCTCTGTGTTTTCAGGAATTAGTTATTTACTATTTGGTTTTCATAGGAATTTCTCTCACAGCATATTGACTACATGTAGATACGAGGCTGGTCCCTTTTAACATTTTCAAGTTGTCCCAATTTGTCTCTAGACCACTCTTCTCTTCTTTTCAGCACTTTACAAGCTTGGTCTGATACCTTCACCTCATGTAGTGCTCTAAAGACCACCATTTGCATCGCAGGCCCAGCTCTTCACAAAGCAGGCTTTGACATCTTCCTGCTTATATTAACACAGACTCCATCTCAAGAAAGCATCTTGGTACATTTGTTAACAAAATAGTTAACATGTATTGGAGCACACACACACACACACACACACACACACACACACACACACACACACCTGGTTCAGGAGTGATTGAAAATTGTGCTCATGGTTAGGGTTATTGATACATAAAGAAAGAGCCACTAAAAAACTTACTGACCCAGGTCAATTTCATATGTAGTTGGCACATTAAAAGATGTATTAAGCTGTTTCTCTTTGCATAATTTTCCATTATTTTCTTCAGAATTATGATTGTGTTTATAAAGCAGTCTCTTGAGATTTTATGCTTTTAGAATATCATCTATTGTAAAATATATCTGGGCTTTTTTTGCCCATCTAGACATTGTCTATATTTTGATGTATATATGACTAATTAAGTTGAAACTATATATGTCACATTTTTATTCTTTCTTCATTCATTAACACAACAGATATTTTGGGGGTTCCTGGATACAGCTTAGAATTGTTTTTGTTTTCTTTGCTTTTTGTTGGTGTTAATATTATTAAAGATTTAATTTGTTTGAGAAAAAATAGTACCTTTATAATCTCCTATCTGAAAGATTTTTGCAGAATTAGAAATTGCCTTTAATTTTCACATTTTTTTAAGATTCTGAAAACTGACTTAGTAGGAAAGGCTAATTCATCTAATGTTATCACTAGAAAATGAGGAGTTCAAGATGCAGAAACACTTTTAATTATGTGTGCTGTTAAAGGTTTATATCAAAATGATGAACAAATCAGGAAAATGTGAATAGTTATAGTTTATCCTTTAATTCTCAAAATGCACATACTCATTTTTATCATGTTACTACAGTCACTACATTTCTTGTTGTATCAAAATATTCCCTATTTTTGCTGTCAAATGAAACCTTGCAATTTACAAAAGTCAATTTTTACAATAATGTTGGTCAGGAATTGAATTTTAAATTTTCGGGTAATCAAATTGTGTTCCATCTGGCTTGGATGATTAGTCAGTAGTTGAGTTGAGTGCATATGAAGATAAAAATGTATATCTGAACATGGTCAACTGTGGTGACAGAACTATAAGAGGGTCAAAATTTACTATCTCAAAATAGAGGTAGATGATTCAAACAAATAAAATAGTGGTTACCAAGGAACCATTTGTTTTTAGAAATTTAAAGACCTTTGAAGAAATTTCAAATTGCTAAACACTTAATAAGAAGCACTTATTCAAAGAAGTCAACTACTACTGAGAGTCAACGGAAGAAAGTCTGGCAAATGTTCAAAGTAAATTACAAAGACATGGTGGTCAATAGTATTGAAAGGCACTTAGAAGCCACTATCAGATTATCAGTGTTCATGCTACTGGAACCAAATAATATCTTAAATTTGTTTCAGTAGTTCCTATCCAACTACCGTCCATGTATTATGAAATTCAAGTAATCTTTATATTATTGTCAAATTCTACCTTAAAGAGAGCTTTCACAAAGGACATGCAATTCATATCTAGAGTTACTGTCATTTCGAGGCTAAGTCCCATAGAAATTCATAACTTAGAAATGAAAGTCACAAAGATGCAACTGCCTTCATAATGCCAATGCAGCAGTTATAAATATTTCATGAACATTGCATGGGCAGGGGCAGATCTCCATTTTCATGAGTTAGAATTTGTACAGCTAAGTCTCCAGATTTTACTATTCATAATGCACAGTATGCCCTGTAGAGCATTCTATATAGTGCTCTTTAATATTTATGTTTAATGAAGAAATTACTGTTCTGAAAAGAGAACAAGCCAAGGCAAAAATTTCTTGTTAAAGTATTAAGTTTTGCTGAATAGAGATGATAACAATCAACAGAAATTACCTCATTGCAGTATCTTACCACATAAATACATAACTTTTATAACAATACAGGGTGACAGATCAAGACACATTAAAATTAAGTGAAAGGTTCTTTCTAAAGGTTATAACATCAGAAATTCCATCTTAAAGAATTCAAAAGGTTAAAATGCAAAAAGCAACTTTCTTTCTTACATATAAAAATATTAATTACAAATGATATACTTGCCTACTATTTCATAGTTTAAATTTATGCCTATATTTTTCCTGGGCTTTTCTTTTATTCAAAAAACATTTTAACTTGCTAAGATAATATTACCAAGTTCAACAATGAATTGCTATTGCATATATTAAGGTAATTTATCAAAGCACATTATCAGTACCTGTCAGAATAAATTTTGCACTCAAAGTAATGGAAAAAAGGACTATTGTATGTGTTTAAATCAAAGAACATTACTACAGCTAAGGTATTTCAATGGAAAGGATACGTGTTTGCCCTCTAAATGATACTCCTTCCATGAGAAAATAAAAGCTTGAAAAATCACAGGAAATAAGCACAGGAAAACGTCTATTCCTTGCTTTTAAAATGAACATTTGATATTTTATTTCATTTTGTCATTTTGATCAATTCTTTCAAGTAGATGAGTGTTGGAAAATGCTGCACAAATCTTGGTAACATTTACAAAAGTAAGCTGAAGTTACTGATCAGCTCATGTCAAATCCAAGCTGATTCATTCCACTTTAGCACATTTAGACCAATGATGAAGTTGCAGATAGATTTTCTCTTGAATATATTTCAGCAGGACTAAGTCTTCTAATAATGAAAGCAACAGGCTTCAGACTGAATACCATTCTCCTGGGAGTTTGCAGTTCAAATATATTTTATTAGGCTTAAATTACCAATGAGGTCACTAGAAATTCTGTAATGTTTCTTGAACTTACCATCAGAAGTTTATGTTTCAGTCCTGATAATACTTGACTGAAAATGAGAAATATCTGCTTCCATTTGGTTCTTTGTAATTTTATTTTCCAAAGATTCCCTTGAGGAATTTAACGTTTATGTGATGAATTTGCAGTTCCCTTGAAGTGTGTTAACCTTAGTTCCCTAATGAGTCTAGGTGTAATGCTGAAAAGGAATTTGAGAATTATATCGTGTAGCTCATTGTCAAGTTGGATTTGTCTTGCACATCCCCAGCTTTGCTATTGCTGCAGTACACATTTTGATCACAATTCTTTAATTATGTTCTATATTTAACTGACCTATTTGAACAGGATCCAGAGCTGGTACGGAACATCTGTCGCTGGGTTAGGCAAGCTGTTCAGGTTCCTTTTTTTGCCAAGTTGACCCCAAATGTCACTGATATTGTAAGCATCGCAAGAGCTGCAATGGAAGGTAAGAACTAGACTTGCATCAGTTGCTCAGTTGTGTAAATATTGGCCTGAATTATGTAGCATATTGAAGTATGTCTTTTTCCACAAGTATTTGGGTATATCTTTGTTTATGTTTTAAGAAAAGTATTAAATTGAGCACTTGAACTCACAAATGAAGTGGATTTACACTTGGACTTCATCCAATAAATGGACACCAAATTTTAGCCTGGAAACACAAGATCCTTTATAATTTTTCCAAAAACTTATTTTACAAAGAATAATCACATACAGGTACAAATTCCCTATGATGAATGTTATCATTATGTATATCTAAAATGTACTAGTAAAAATATAAAATGCTTGAAAAAAGTTATTTAAAAAGCTACAGTTACAGCAAACCACCTCCAAATTAAAAAGCTCGTAATGTAACAATTCATCAGTAGCACTTGAATCTTTAATGAGATTAAAAAAAAGATATCAGATCCCACACTGTGAAATTGCTGTGTTTCCTTCATATTAGAGAGTGCAACACACCACCTTAAACACATACTCAATATCTGTTGAATACATAAATCATGCAGTCGATGCATAACTTTACAAATCACATGTGTTTATCCTCTATTCCATGGAAATTACATTCTGACTTGCAAAGAGATTGTAAGTTACTTGAGAAATAACACTGAATACAAAACATTTGGCAACAATATATCTACCTAATCATTTTGAAAATGAAGTCATGGTAATTCAAAACTTTTAAATATGCCTAGCCTTTTAAGTGTGGTTGTAAGAGTTAAATTCATGCATGTATTTAAGAAGAAAAAAAGCTCTTTAGTGGAATTAGTGTCCATTTTCATATAGGTTAGGTAAGTTTGATTGGGTTTTAACCATCTTCTCTTTACAAAACCCTGGCAAATGTTGTGTCTTCCACAGGTGGTGCAGATGGCGTTACAGCCACCAACACAGTTTCAGGTCTGATGGGCTTAAAAGCAGATGGCACACCCTGGCCAGCAGTGGGTATTGGAAAGCAGAGTACGTATGGAGGAGTGTCAGGTAGGCGCCCGCCTCTCCTTGCATTATGCTTCCTTGCAAATTGCTGAAAAATCAGGTTATTATGTTGCAAGCAACAGTGTCCTGATTTTTTAAAATGATCACAAATTCTGATACATTGCTGGTCACTATTCCTAATAGTTGCAACAAATGGAACAGATTGAATGTGAAGGCTCAAGCGATTGTGACTCTTAGTACAAGATGGGAGAATACCAAAATAGAGTGAAGCACAAATTCTATTCTCTTCTGATCTGTGATCTCTTGAGAATTTCTCAGTGTCATGATTGCCTTGCCGATTATTAGTAAAGGCTAATAATAGATCCTTTCAGAAGAAAAATATATGCACCCTAATTGTAATATCTTTTTCATAGTCCGAATTAGTTTCTATGCTTCTTAGAATTTTAAAATCTACCTCCTTAAAACAATATCACTTTCACACCTGTTCCAAATACACCAATAGATATTACATTTAAGCTTTGGCTGACAAGACATTCCGGACCTCACACCTTTCCACATTCTTTCCCATCCTCAAATACTTGCATTTGAAGAAAGAGAGAGAAGTTTTAATCCCAAGGTCTCATTTGGTCTCTTTGCCCTGTGTACTCCGTTGCTGTGACAACATGCACTCGGCCTTGCAAAGACAATGCTGTGAGGTTCTTGACTGTGCTAGTATGGGGATTAGTCTCCTTGGTGATGGAGAAAGTGGTAGACATGCATAACAGAGCAGTGCCCCACTGTTCAAGAAAATCATTGCTGAAGCAGACCAAAAAATGTGCTTTTGGAAGAGGCTAGATAGACATAAATAAAACTCTATCCATGGTTAGTTTTTTTGTGGTGAGAGAGTGAAGTATGTCCATGAGCTATAATAAAACAACAGCAAAAGGTTATATTCTGCTTTTAATTGAATGCCCATCCTGTGTTATCAAAAAGAGAGGCTGACAAGCAGCACCTGCTCAGACCTGCACCATTCTTTTATCAGGAGCTATCAAACAGGGTCTTAACTATTTCTGTACTGCAGAGTAACATGGGCGGTGTTAGCATGTGCCCCAGAAAGAGTCAAGAGATTCCAGAGTTGGGATGTAACATGCACTATGCTTTCTGTCAGCCCATTTCAATTTTTCCAGCCTGCCATCTTGACAGCAAGAGAATAAAGGAGGTCACAGAGGGTGCTGAACATTAAAAATTAATAAAAGAACTATTGCAGTAGTATTTTATATAAGTAATACCATTCACAGTTTTCCATTTAAGCTGCAATTTCTGAATATTCTCCCATACTATAACTCAGTCTAATAAAACTACAAAATTACAGCACTAGAAAGTCTTTTGTGTCACAGTCTTTAAGTATACACACAGAGGAAATTATAGCAGTACCTGAAAACAAGTTCAGCAATACCTCAGGGCCTGTTAGCATTTCCATAAAACTCTATTTCTAAGATGTATAAATTCATATATAAATATTCACTTAGGCTATACATTTAGTTAAGCCTAGATGGAACATTCATGTTAAATAACAGAAAGTCCCTAATATTTTTAAGGACTTGTACCTCATTCCTAATAGTTTCTACATTAAGTTCCTTCACATTAAACAATCTGTTTTGAAAATAGCCTTTTTCCATATTGACACAATTAATACAGTTTTCCTTCTTTAACATAGTGCGTGCTTTGGTTTAAAGGTAATACAATCAGTAAATCATTTTAAACAGGCCCTGATAATATATTTTAAGACAGAAGCACATTCCATAACAAAGTGCTTTCAGCATGAGTTACAGCAAAGCCTAGCCTAGTAAGATTGTGTTAAATAATAATGGTTTCAAATTTTAGGGGTGATAAAAATATAAAAGTGGCTAAATAGTATTGCTAATTTATCAAATATGGATGCCAGAACTTTGAAATCTGCTTCAATATAGAAACTTACACAAAATATGCTAGATATTTTTACAAGATTAAAAAATTACCAGAGTAGAGTGCTATATTTTTTTCCCAAGTGTTTTTTCATAACACTGGAGTGCCTGCTTTTACAAGAGCTGTTTGAGTCACAAATATTTTCTAAACAAAAACTAAAGAATTAAATTTTGGATACCCACCTAACAGTGCATAATTATCTATCCACTTCTGGGAAGGGATTTTGTTTTCAATACAATTTCTAGCCCGTTGTTCAATTTGTAGTATTTTTTCTCAAAATAAAATGTTTGAAATAGAGGTTTTGTTTTGTTTAAAAGGAAAAATAGTGCAGTACCCAAGTTACTCTTCCTACCGTAAGAAAACAATCACCTTTCAGCATTGTTCTCTGTGGACAGTAATGTGAATATGAAATATCAGCTAAGCATTGCCACTTGGTTTATTTCAAATAAAATTATACTGGATTTTAAAGAAATATTTTTCAAATGTTGTATCTAAACTCTTAAGTATGTGATGGAATCAAGCTTAATGACCTACAATCAATATTTTTTTGAAAATGAAATAGAATAAGATACCTCAGAATGTTTGGCATATATTTAGGATAAGCATTGTTTGGTCAAATTTCTTTTTCAGTTATGTTAACATGCCATATTTTTGATGGGTAATTATTTTGTCAATATTCTGAAAAATTTGCTAAATTATTTATTTAATGTTTCTTTAAGAGTGTTTGCTTATTGGTTGTACTTTTCCAAAACCATTTTTCATGTAAAATTTACATTTGCTTGTAGGATTAATATCTCGTCAGGGGGGAAACTTAGTGTTGACAGTGAGATAAATGATAATTTTGGACTCTACTTCATTCATGACGCTGATAGTGTGTTGTCCCTTGTGAATGTTCACATATATCTCTGTGCTGCTGTATGTAAATCATTTTCCCAGAACAATTATTTGTTATTTCTTAAGAATATTCTTCCACCTATATTCTAAGTTTCAATTCATTCCGTAATTGTCTTGTGTACAACAAGATTAGTTCTTGGAAGAATGGTTGTCAATGACGGGGGATCTAGAAGTTCTCCAAAGTGGAGTTTTCTCGTATTGTTTAAAATAAATTATAAATGGACATATTCCAACATTTATCATAGACTGAAAGTTTCCTGTGAAGTCCTACTGTGTTTTAGACTGAGATCTATGTTTACAGTCTTCTGTATGAATTAGATGCCTGGGTGAATTATCTCAAAAAGTCTATGGTAGACAAATGTTTCAATACTGGAACATGGAACGTATACTACCCCATGTGCTTGAGATCATTGAGTAAAGAGTAAGATAACTCAAGGACCTTCCACATGCTTGCCAAGAGTGTATGATTTTTCAATTTCACATTTTACAGGTATGAAGTAGATTCCACATTCATTATATTTATATTGTACCATATCAGGTCATGTAAATAACACAATGTTAAATGGGTTTCTCTCAAGTAGCTAACTTCAAAAAAGTGTGAAAGTTCTCCGTTGAAAGAAATTATTAAGTCTATAGAAAGGTAACTTCTACTAGTTGCATTTTACAAGTTATATTAAGTGAGAGAATTAGTATCACTTCCTAAGGTCTTGTCCTCAATCTTGCTAGTTTAGAAATTATTTTCCCCTCTCCACAATTATCTGCAGGTGAATAGAAGCAGGGAGGGGGGCTTCAAAGATATGAACCAATATTATAAGAGAATGACTTAAAAATTTGAATCTCATTCATGAAAGAAATTCCTGGCAAGATTCATCCTCACATATGGATCCCTAAAAGTTAAATTATAGATGAGGTGATTTCATAGTGAGAATAACACGAACATAAATTTTGTTCAGTATTCATAAGGGATATTATCATGAAACTGTTGATTAAGCTTTGCAATACAAGTACTTCTGTTTAAAAAATTGTTTCTAAAAATGTCATTCTCTACTGCTCTTTGCATAATATACTCTTAACATTGGTAAACTGCTACCATCTAACTTGTCTTCTTCTAGAAGCCAAGCAGAAAACCTTGGATATATCAAGTAACAGTTGATTCTTTTAAGCAAATTATTGTGTTTTGTGTGTGTGTGTGTGTGTGTGTGTGTGTGTGTGTGTGACCGAGGGAGTAGAAATTCATTGCTTTTTGCATATTTGATTGGAAGAAATTCTAATCTCATCTGTAAATAATGAATTGTAAACTATATCCTTGAATGCATTAATCACTTTTTTACTACTTTTAGTTTAGTTTTCTTTCTTATCTTAATTTAAAAATTTGATCATTTTTACGACCTTGTCCTCAGATAATGAACACATCTTAATACAGCTCCCAACTCTGTGACTACTATCATTCATCTATATGATTGTGTTATCCAGGGCCAGGGATTTAGCTCAGTGGCACTGTGCCTACCTCACAAGTGCAAGGTCCTAAGTTTGAACCCTGGTAATAAATAAATAAATAATAAATAAATGTGGTTATCCAGCTGTGGTGTGGCATTTTCACATTTTTCACATGGAGTTCTCCCTATTAGTATAACGGTTAAAATGAGTCCTGTATAGCATAAACTAAGGATATGTCTTTCCTTCAGTTGACTTCATGAGGATAATTTTTTTTAATCAACAGCTATATTAAAGCAAAGAATAAGATTTTTCAATGGAATAAACTCATTTAAGATGTTTTGTTGTTTCTTGTGATTTTACTGCCCTTTATTAATATGAGCTTGACACATTTCTTACTATTACTTATTTCTTACTATTACTATTATTCCATTGTCCTGTATACATTGTTTGCTGCATATCTAAACACATATGTGTATACACACATAGGTAAAAGATCTGAAATAACTTCCCAGGAGACACTTTAAGTAATAATTTAGGCTCAATGCAACTTACTTCCAACAAGCTTAAAAATTGTTATACATGATTTTGCTAGTCATTTTTTTTCTATTTTATCAAAGAAAAGGAAGTTCTTATCCTTCATTTTAAATTTTTGATGCTTGATTCAAATTATTAGGTATTAACAGTTAAAACAATACTTATTTAGTATTAAGACAAACTTTTATTATTAATTTCTGAATAATTCATTGAAGAAAGTCTTTTAAGATTTGACC